TTCTACACTTGTTCCAGCAGTGTTTCTAATATCTTCTTGAAGACTTCTACACTTGTTCCAACAGTGTTTCTGATATCTTCTTGAAGACTTCTACACTTGTTCCAGCAGTGTTTCTGATATATTCTTGAAGATATGAAATTTGTATTGATAAGGCCGCGGGGGCGTTGACCCCCGGAACTTTCTCGAGGTAAAGCCAATGGGTTGTGACTGTAGAATCTATATGCGAGTGACTCACCAGGGACACAGCAGCCCTTAAAGCTCACATATACCAATTTTTTCAGTGAGCTTGTCAATAGACCCCTGGCTGTCTTCAAGGAGCTGGACAGACAGTTCCTGACCAGCCGGGCTGTAGCTCGTACGTCGGTTTACGTGCGGCCAACAGTAACAGCCTGGTTGATCAGGCCCTGATCCATCACAAGGCCTGGTCATGACCAGGCCGCGGGGGCGCTGACCCCCGAAATCCCCTCAGGCATACTGAATAACAGTCACATTTTTAAACAGTTCGGTATACCAGGAGGGTATTTTGGGGGTCCATGCCCCCCGCGTCCCCGTTCCATGACCAGGCCTTCGTAATTCCCCTTTCCTTCTGAATATTCTTCTATACTCTCTTTCTATATTTGATCTTTTTAAGTTTTCTAAGTGATACATAATTAATGAGGACCTTTGATACTTGTGTTGAGCATAAATTTGAGGAAATGGAATGGAGTCTAAATTAACACAAATTACTTGGTAAAGCAAAAGACATGTGTGGGACTTAGGAGTGATAATGTAAGAGGATCTCAATTTGAAGGATCGAAACAGTGTTGTTATCACAGTCCCAAAGAAAAAAATGAACTGGAACCTTCAAAATAAGTGATGCCAAGCCTATGATCATACTGGAAACGTTTCGCCACACAGTGGCTTCATCAGTCCAATACAAAGCAGAAAGGTGTAAGGAGAGGAGTTTGAGGTAATCAGTCCCTCTCCTTACACCTTTCTGTTTTATATTGGACTGATGAAGCCACTCTGTGGCGAAATGTTTCTTCAGTAAAGATTCCCATATGTTGCGTAAGTGTCTCAATCTTCAACTTGTCGGTTTTTAAAACCATTTATTACAGGGAATAATACTCAATAATAACTCACAGAAGAGGATCCCAGAAGGGGATCGAAATATACAGACCAATTCTTCTGAGTTTCTGCCTCCATATGGGTTATTACTGAACAATGATAAGTGTTCATTACACTTTAGTTATCCACGGGGAATAATGTTTGAAGATGAGCAGGAGTTTGAGGTAATCAGTCCCTCAGCCTGGAGAATTTTAATGTTGCCTAATCTAATGGCATGACCTACTTCCATCTGCGGATTTGTCCACAGTGACTGCCTACTACTGCTTCTCGCTATTTTCAAGACTGATGGACTGAACACATCGACTCTAGGCTGAGGGACTGATTACCTCAAACTCCTGATCTTCAACCATTCTTCTCTGTACCGGACTAATAATCATACTCTTCTCTAGGCCAGAATATTGTTGTTTCTTAACAGTCTTTTTTAAGACAACCAAAATTGCAGATCTGGAGAATGTGTAGAGAACCTTCACTTACTCGTATGAATTCAGTTAAAAACAAATTATCGGAAAGGTTTGAAATGCCCTAAACTGTACTCCTTGGAACGTAGGCGAGAACGATGCATCAAAATCTACTTCTGGATTTTTTTTTTAAAGAGGAATTGATCCCAAATCTGCTAACAGAAGCCACTTTCTACGAAAGCAGTTGAAAAAATTACAACAGCAGCATAATGCGATCCTTTATTGACAAAGGATCGCATTTTACAGTATATTTGTGTTCATTTTCCCCATGTCGGTATTTGATACCATTTACCTCCATCGGATACAGATGAGCCAGACGTAGCACTTTGTGATCCTGAGATGAAAACAGAAGAAGATTTTCCATTACCCACCATCCACAAGTGTCCGGGGCCCAAAACTGTTCAACAGCCTCCCATCAAGCATTAGGGGAATTGCCAATAAACCCCTGGCTGCCTTCAAGAGAGAGCTGGACAGATACCTAAAGTCGGTGCCGGATCAGCCGGGCTGTGGCTCGTACGTCGGACTGCGTGCGGCCAGCAGTAACAGCCTAGTTGATCAGGCCCTGATCCATCGGGAGGCCTGGTCGTGGACCGGGCCGCGGGGGCGTTGATCCCCGGAATAACCTCCAGGTAACCTCCAGGTAACCCATCATGCACAAGAGGAATTACCAACAAACCTCTGGTTGTCTTCAAGAAGGAACTGACAAGCTGAAGTCAGCTCCTGATCACCTGGGCTGTGGTGCTTGCCGTAGGTAAAATTATCGACAATATGTTTGGCAAAAGGAGACAAGTGCAATGCGACATGTTATTGTGGCAACGTCTCGCACTCTAGGAGCTTTATCAAGCCGTTAATGCTTGATAAAGCTCCTAGAGAGCGAAACGTTGTCACAATAAAATGTCGCATTAGTTGCGCTTGTGTCTTTTACTTAACATGTGGAACTTATGTTGTATCCCCACGAGTCAACAGCCTTGTTGATCAAATCATCACCCTGATCAAAACACGAACAAAGGCCCCAGAACACGTTTTGCTCAAGGGGAATTCTTCCATAATATCCCCAGGTGAGTTTTACTAACGAAACACTGTCTCCTTGAGCGAAACGTTGTTACAATACAAGCTGTATGTGCCGCCCCATCCACAATTAACCAGAGGTGAGTAGAATGAATGTGGATGAGCACAGATGAGACCTCTGGTGGTGTGTGTAAAGAATCCATTCATGTTAGGCAAGAAACTAGTTTGTATCTAGTTAGTGGGGGTCACTACTGCTTTCACCATTCATAAGAGACTTACCTAGAGATTTGTTTGTTCTTATAGCTTAATCATGCATGCATCTTCTCTCTCTCTCTCTCTCTCTCTCTCTCTCTCACTCTCTCTCATTCACTCTCATTCACTCTCATTCACTCTCATTCACTCTCACACACTCTCATTCACTCTCACACACTCTCATTCACTCTCACACACTCTCATTCACTCTCACACACTCTCATTCACTCTCACACACTCACTCTCATTCACACTCACTCTCATTCACATCTCACTCCTCACTCTCACACTCACTCTCATTCACACTCTCATTCACACTCACACTCTCACCACTCCACACTCTCACACTCACACTCTCCACTCACACTCTCACACACTCACATCACTCACACACTCATCACACTCACACACTCACACTCACACACCTCACACTCTCACACTACACCTCACACTCCTCATCACTCTCTACTCACTCACTCTCTACTCTCTCACACTCTCACACTCACACTCACACTCTCACCCTCTCACACTCTCACCTCACACACTCACACTCACTCTCACACTCTCACACACTCCTCACTCACACCACTCTCACACTCCACTCTCTTACACTCTCACTCACACACTTCACACTCACACACTCTACACTCACACTCTTACACTCACTCACACTCCACTCACACTCACAACTCACTCACTCACACTCACTCACTCACACCTCACTCACTCACACTCACTCTCTCACACTCACTCTCCCACTCACTCTCTCACACTCACTCACACTCTCCCTCTCTCCACACTCCACCACTCTCTCACCTCTCACACTCACACTCTCACACTCTCATCTCTCTCACACTCTCACTCTAACACTCACTCTCACACTCTCACTCTCATCACTCTCACACTCACTCACACTCACCTCACACTCTCACTCTCACACACTCACACTCTCACTCTCCACACTCTCACTCTCACACTCTCACTCTCACACTCTCACTCTCCACACTCTCACTCTCACACCTCACACTCTCACTCTCACACTCACTCACACTCTCACTCACACTCACTCCCACACTCACACTCACACACTCACACTCTCACTCTCACACTCTCACTCTCACACTCTCACTCTCACACTCTCACTCTCACACTCTCACTCTCACACTCTCACACTCTCACTCTCACACTCTCACTCTCACACTCTCACTCTCACACTCAGTGTGGGTCTCCAAGTCCTTTGCCATCTATTTTTCCCTTTAACTATCTTTTATTTCAATTTTGGCTCGAGTAATTTTTTCCTCGGCCAGGAACCAGGACAACACATTTCCTGACACGGGCCTTAGTTATACGACCCGAAACCGGTTCATCATCGCCGGCCGAACACGACAGAAATACATTAGCAGGTGCGAATCTAGGGTACGACTGGCTTACGGTGCCGTTTAAAGTATGGCACAGACAGTTTATATCCCTGGTCTATTTTCTGTCGACGCTCGACTTAAAATAGACATCTTCCATAAACATGACCAGATATATCTCTTTGTTCTACTTGTCTGTGTATGTCTCTCCTCGTCACCTCTCACAAGCATCTGTACACAAAGGAATTTTTAATTGTATATTTACTGTCGTGACGTGATTTAAACCCTTTCTTTTCTCGTAAATTAGAAATACAGGGTGTTTCAAATTGTTGGACCTGATCGTAAAATATACTTTGAAACCGTGTCCTTTTTGAAACACCCTGTACAGGTATACTGACCGACTTGTGTATAAATCCACTCATACACATGTGTAAGTGAATTTATGCATGTGCGTGTCTTAATGCGTACATGGATATACTGCATGTCTTAGTGCGTTCATGTATAGTATGTAATTGTGTATATAATGAATGGGTATGTTTGTGTTGTGTTTCTGTGAGGTATTTGCGTGTTTATGTAGATGTACGCCTGAGTGTACTTACCTACATGTGATTGCTGGGGGTTGAGTCACATATCCTGGCCACAGGCTCTACCCTAGCCGCTTCTGGGCTCTTTCCTGGCTTCGCGAGGTGTGTGTGTGTGTGTGTGAGAGAGAGAGAGAGAATTCACCAACTATTTGCCGGAGTCACGTGACATACAAAAACGGCCAAGTGTTTATCGACAAGTGCCTTTGACAACCAATAACAACAACTATTACTACTACTACTCACCAGTCCTCTGCAGACGTTAAGAGCCACAGCAGAATCGTTGTATCCTAGAAGCACGCCCGTATGGAAGCAGTGGGCGTGGAGCGTGGGCGTGGTGACCGTCGCTTCGTGGGCGGACTCATGTCTCATTAAGGTGGACGGAGAGAGGAAACTAGCGTCCGCCCACACCTCAACCACCCACTCCCTACCCAGTGCCTCCCACCTGTACACCCGCCCACCGCCACGCCCACCCTCGCTGGGCGGGTGGGCGGCCTCAGCCCTCACCCACACACGCCCACCACCGTCGTCTGCTGTCCACTCTGAAAAATGGAAAAAAATTAGTTAATAAACAATAATTAATAAAAATTATTTAATAAAAATAACTAAATAATTTATAGTAATATAATTTACATAAACTATCTATTACTGTCGCGGAATGCTAAACCGCATGGTCGTGCAGCTCTACGAATGGAGTCAAGTTATAACAAGACTACTGGTCTCCGCACGATCGTCCTATGATGCGGCGGTGTGCAATCGGGACTGTGAGAGGAGCCCCTCAGGGTCCGTGACTCTGACCCTCCCTACTAAGGGGGTCCTGTACTCTGACCCTCCTACTACGGGCGTCCCTGGACCTCTGACCCCTATCCCACTTCGGGCGTCCTGTGCTCGACCTTCCACATCGGGCGCCCTGTGACCTCTGACCCTTACCTACTACGGGGGTCCCTGTGACCTCTGACCCCTTCCCCTACTACGGGCGTCCCTGTGACCTCTGACCCCTTCCCCTACTACGGGCATCCCTGTGACCTCTGACCCCTTCCCCTACTACGGGCGTCCCTGTGACCTCTGACCCCTTCCCCTACTACGGGTCAAGGGGACAGCCAGGCTACACACACACACACACACACACACACACACATCACAACAACACACACACACACACACACACACACACACACACACACTTTCAGTCTTTACTAATGAGAGACCTGATTAGCTTGTGCTACCAGGACGGTTGCCGTGTTCCTCCCTTAAGTCAAGGTGACCTGACCTGACTAGTTGGGTGCATTGGCTTAAGCCGGTAGGACTTTTGGACCTTCGCCTCCAGTGGCTTCCAGTAGTCTGCAAGTTCCTTGGTTCGTTATAGTTTCTATGTCTTATGAGTCCGTGCAGATTTACAACGTTTTCTGGTGTACGTCCTTACTGATATGCCTAAACGTTCACAATAGTCTTCAGTTAAATACAACACTGGAGATAGAGTGGCTGTATATGAATGGTACACAATACCGACAAGATGAAGAATTAGACACGTGTGCAACATCTGGGTATCTCTATATGTAGACGTTTCGCCAACCAGTGGCTTTATCAATACAAGGATATACCCAGATGCTGCACGTTTGTCTAATTCAACTTAAGATAGTAGATGCTTTGATGTGACGAGTCTGTCACCCTTCGAAGAAGGTGGTCAGTCCCTGAGGCCTTAAGTAGAGACATGTGGCAAGACCTGACCTACTTGTAACTTACCATAAAATAGCGAAACTTCGCCCTGACTTAACTTAAAGCCTAACCTAACCTAACTTAAAACTTAAAGCCAAACCCAACCTAACTTAACTTAAAGCCTAGCCTAGCCTAGCCTAACCTAACCTAACCTAACTTAACTTAAAGCCTAACCTAACCAACCTTACCTTCTAAGCTAACAGACTAAGACCTCTGTCCCTTTTCTCAGTTATTTAATGGTTTTTGGCACTTAAATCAGAAGTGCATAAGTTCGTCAATAACCTGAAACAATGAAGTGAAACTCTGAGGCAGAAGATGCAACACAAACGTATATATAAAGTTCTATTGAAGTTATAACAGTGGAACACACTACCAGCTGAAGCTTTAAGCGAGAAGACAATAAAAATATATCTAATGGTTACAATTGTAACCACAACTTTTAAGGGGTGGAGGGATAAGCCGACGGAAGGTCTCGGTAAGATAATCAAAAGCTGCAGCTGTGGGTCATTATGTAACTAAGACCCGCGTCAGGAAGCACTTGTCCTGTTTCCTGACAAACCTTATCTAACCTAATATAGCCATTTAAGAACCAGCTGGACAAGCAATTTACAAATAAAGGCTTTAACCGAGGCTTTGCCTCAACTGTAAACAATAGATTCCTAATGTTAGTTTAACTGCATCAGGGTTAACAGTTAACAATGAGTCACTCATGTTAATAATAGTGGTGGTTATGGTCGTGGCAGTTACAACAGTGGCCTGGTCTTCCTACAAAGTTGCTCCCAGATATCTGCATGTGTTCACCTGTGTTCAACACAATAATAGAGGAGCACTGCAGGAGACCTACCAGCCCATTCAAGGCAGTAAGAATTGATATTAATTTGGAAAAAATATAATAAGGTGTTGATAACGAGGGGAAAAGAACACACAAATGTTACTAATTGGCGTTTTGTGAACGTTTATGAGTGACGTCACTCATGTAAACATTACCACCTGTACCACAGATCCAGAAGTACAACCACCTGTACCACAGATCCAGAAGCACAACCACCTGTACCACAGATCCAGAAGCACAACCATCTGTACCACAGATCCAGAAGTACAACCATCTGTACCACAGATCCAGAACTACAACCACCTGTACCACAGATCCAGAAGCACAACCATCTGTACCACAGATCCAGAAGTACAACATCTGTACCACAGATCCAGAAGTACAACCATCTGTTTCCACAGATCCAGAAGCACAACCCTGTACCACAGATCCAGAAGCAACCCAAACCCTCTGTACCAAAAAGATCCAGAAGCACAACCATCTGTACCACAGCATCCAGAAGCACAACCACCTGTACCACAGCACCCAGAAGCACAACCACCTGTACCACAGATCCAGAAGCACAACCACCTGTACCACAGATCCAGAAGCACAACCATCTGGACCACAGCATCCAGAAGCACAACCATCTGTAACAGCATCCAGAAGCACAACCACCCGTACCACAACACCCAGAAGCACAACCACCTGTACCACAGATCCAGAAGCACAACCATCTGTACCACAGCACCCAGAAGTACAACCACCTGTACCACAGATCCAGAAGCACAACCATCTGTACCACAGCACCCAGAAGCACAACCGTCTGTACCACAGCACCCAGAAGCACAAACACCTGTACCACAGCACCCAGAAGCACAACCACCTGTACCACAGCATCCAGAAGCACAACCACCTGTACTACAGCACCCAGAAGCACAACCACCTGTACCACAGCACCCAGAAGCACAACCACCTGTACCACAGCACCCAGAAGCACAACCACCTGTACCACAGCATTCAGAAGCACAACCACCTGTACCACAGCATTCAGAAGCACAACCACCTGTACCACAGCATCCAGAAGCACAACCACCTGTACCACAGATCCTGAAGTACAACCACCTGTACCACAGCACCCAGAAGCACAACCACCTGTACCACAGCATCCAGAAGCACAACCACCTGTACCACAGCACCCAGAAGCACAACCACCTGTACCACAGATCCTGAAATACAAACCACCTGTACCACAGCACCCGAAGCACAACCACCTGTAAACCCCAGCATCCAGAAGCACCCAAACCCCCTGTACCCCCGCACCCAGAAACACAACCCCTGTTTCACCCGCATTCAGAAGCACAAACCACCTGTACCACAGCACCCAGAAGCACAACCACCTGTACCACAGCACCCAGAGGCACAACCACCTGCACCACAGCATTCGGAAGCACAACCACCTGTACCACAGGTCCAGAAGTACAACTACCTGTACCACAGATCCAGAAGCACAACCAACTGTACCACAGATCCAAAAGCACAACCATCTGTAACGCAGCGTCCATAAGCACAACTACCAGCACCACAGCATCCAGAATCACAACCATTTGCACCACAGCATCCAGAAGCACAACCACCTGTACCACAGCACCTAGAAGCACAACCATCTGCATCACAGCACCCAGAAGCACAACCATCTGCATCACAGCACCCAGAAGCACAACTACCTGTACCACAGCATCCAGAAGCACAACTACCTGTACCACAGCATCCAGAAGCACAACCACCTGTGCCACAGCATCCAGAAGCAGAACCACCTTTACCACAGCATTCAGAAGCAGAACCACCTTTACCACAGCATCCAGAAGCACAACCATCTGTATCACAGCATCCAATAGCACAACCATCTGTACCACAGCATCCATAAGCACAACCACCTGTACCACAGCATCCAATAGCACAACCATCTGTACCACAGCATGCATAAGCACAACTACCTGTACCACAGCATCCAGAAGCACAACCATCTGTACCACAGCATGCATAAGCACAACCATCTGTATCACAGCATCCAATAGCACAACCATCTGTACCACAGCATCCAGAAGCACAACTACCTGTACCACAGCATCCAGAAGCACAACCATCTGTACCACAGCATGCATAAGCACAACCATCTGTATCACAGCATCCAATAGCACAACCATCTGTACCACAGCATCCAGAAGCACAACTACCTGTACCACAGCATCCAGCAGCAGAACCACTGTGACACAGACCTGTGGGCAGCAGTGGAGCACCACCACAAACACTTTCTTCTAAATTCATACCATTTTTTCCCAAAATGGTATATAATTTTTTTTTACCCTTAGTGGCGAGTGATGACAGTCTTACTATCCTTCCTTCAAACATCTAGAAAATACATGATAGTTGTAGATACATAGCCTGTGTGTGGCAGCCCTTGTGTGGCAGTGGAAGCCTTTGTGTGGCAGCTGCTGTGTGGCAGCCCTTGTGTGGCAGCCCTTGTGTGGCAGTCCTTGTGTGGCAGTCCTTGTGTGGCAGTCCTTGTGTGGCAGCCCTTGTGTGGCAGTGGAAGCCTTAGTGTGGCAGCCCTTGTGTGGCAGCCGAAGCCTGTGTGTGGTAGCTGCTGTGTGGCAACCCTTGTGTAGCAGCCCTTGTGCAGCAGCCCTTGTGTGGCAGCCCTTGTGTGAACTCAAAAACCGTCTGTTACCTGTCATACTCATGTACTCTCGTGTACGATCTAACGCAGCCTAACCTGACCTAACCTAAGCTAGACTAAGGAATGAATGATCTCAGTGGGGTGCAGTTGCCGTTTGCTGCCCGTCTTGTGGTGCAGAAGCTGTCTACTCGCTGTCGGCGATATGCAACCTCAGCCTGACCTAACCAAAGCTATCTTAAAAGATAGTTTACACAGCGTGGAAGGCGACGTTAAGAAAATACCACTGAAGATTTCGTAAGGAAATGAACGTTGTAATGTGAAAATAAGTGGCATTA